AAATGTAACCGCATTATTTAAGAAGGGTAGTAGATTGATTGCAGAAAATTATAGACCTGTATCTTTAACCTCTGTTGTATATTAGGTCATAGAATCCATTATAAAAGACTGCATACTTAACTTTTTAGATGGTGAAAAGTTATTGAATCAGAATCAACATGGTTTTTTAAAACATAAATCATGCGTCACCAATTTACTAGAATCTATGGACTTGATAACATACTATTTATCCCAAAATTCGTCTGTGGATATTTTTTTTTTAAGATTTCGCTGAGGCTTTCGATTCAGTACCACATCAGAGATTATTGTTTAAGTTATCAGCTTGGTCTTGAGCAGTGTCCCACAAGGTTATGTGCTCGGGCCAATTTTGTTTATCCTTTTCATTAATGATTTGAATGAAATCATCTTAAACAATTCTAAATTTTATACTGATGATTCAAAAATAATAGCTAAAGTAAACAATTTGACACAATGTTTATCATTACAAGGCAATATTAATAATGTTGTAAAGTGGTTAACGACTGGTTAATCAACTTAAACATCAACAAATGTAAAGTAATGCACATTGGCAAACAGAATTTAATGTTCAATTATAGTATAAATAAAGTAGATTGCACACAACTAGTCTTAGAATCGTCGAATGAAGAAAGAGATTTAGGAATCACAATAAGATCGGATTTGAAATGGAAAACGCAAGTGTTAAACGCATTTAATAAAGCTATTGCCAAAATTGGTCTGGTAAAAAGAACATTAAGCATAATAAACGTACAAATGATAGAAGTTTTGCATAAGCCATATATACGACCACATTTAGAATATGCAAGTGTAATATAGTATCCCTATCTGACAGGAAATATAAAGAGGCTGGAAAGAATTCAAAGCAAAGTAACAAAAATCTTTTTAGAATTAAATAATATATAGTACAAAAAACGCCTAAGATATTTGAGCTTAACCAGTTTCGATATAAGACAACAACGTGGAGACTTAATCCAAATGTATAAAATTGTTCATGGGTATGAGAAAATTCAATGGTCAAATTTTACGTTATTGATAAACCTGGGATTCATACACGTAGGCAAGGGCATAAATTAAATACTGAACTAATAAAAAATTGTCCAGCAAGATTTAATTTTTTTACAAACAGAGCTGCGAAACTGTGGAATTCTTTAAAAACCGAAGATGCTAATGCAATATCATTAAACTCATTTAAGGCTATTTTTTCGTCCAGATATGATAACTAACGCTTACATTCACAATGCTATTGAAACGACGTTATCAATTAAATGCTCGTTTGGAGTTTTGTGGTTGTCCTACTAAAGAAACTTCTTTGTTCGTATGGTTATGTTTATAGTAATGGTTGCAATAACCTTAACATAAGCAAGGTACAAATAATTTTTCTTGAATACAAATAACTTTTGCTCCACAAGCAATTTCCTTTTGCGGAAAAGTTAAAAGATACTGGGTTCGGTCCTTTGCTTAAAATGTCCAAGCTAAAGTCAAGCAGGGTACCAATAATTTTTTTCGACAAAATTTAATGAAAAATTATTGTTAAAATGGTGATTGGTTAACCTGTAATCAAATTAACCTTGCTCAACTTTTGCTCCACAAGCAATTTCCTTTTGCGGAAGGGTTGGAAGTTACTGGGTTCGGTCCTTTGCTTAAAATGTCCAATGTCAAGCAGGGTACAAATAATTTTTTTCGACAAAATTTAATGAGTACTTTTCTACAAGTTTCTATTAGTAAAAGAATTAAACAAGGACGACAAAAAATAGTCTTTGTTCATGTAGGATGTGCTTCTTTGATTCTGACGTTGAGACAGGCAAAGGCCTCTCAATGGCAAAATGCTCAAATTGAAGTGAATGGTTCTATAAAAGATGCCAAAACATAGCAACAAATATATTCAAGAAGAAGAATTATGGTGATCGTTGAAAGTGCTCTAGATGTCAATAAATATTTTTAATTGAAAAAAATTATTAAAAAAATTTGTAATATTAATAACTTTATTATATAAACTTATAAACATAACTGTATGAAATAAAAAATAGAGTCCTAAGGGACAGTTTTTCTTAGGTGCCAGATGTCCAAGAGGCATCAAAAAAAAAAAAAAACTTAAAAAATGGATTTGATTGATAATATATGAAAATCTAGAAAAATAGGGACGTCAATCATGGTTGCTGTTCCAGACGGCGTTCGGGCTCTTTGTATAGCTGTATAATTACAACTACAACTTTTTATAGCTGTATAACTACACTCTAGCGGTATTGATGTCAAAATTAACCGATTCAGAACGTTATGAGTTAAAAACAGCTACGCGTCTGCTAATATATGTATATATAAATATACACATACATGAATAGCAAACTTAGATTATAAGAAGTTCCAAGATTTAACAATAAAAATGCTAACAGAATTAAAAAAAAGATTCAAGTGTAACTACATATTTATATATATATATATATATATATATACATATATATATATATATATATATATATATATATATATATATATATATATATATATATATATATATATATATATATATATATATATATACATATATACATATATATATATATATATATATATATACATATATATATATATATATATATATATATATATATATATATATATATATATATATATATATATATATATATATATATATATATATATATATATATATATAGATATTAGCAAATAACTATTAACTTAAGATAAATATGTTCTTTATTTATGGTATTTTTCTGGTCATTGCTTCAACATTTTTTCAAATTAAAAATTAGTTTTTACTGTTATGACTATTTGCTAATATCTCTATATATATATATATATATATATATATATATATATATATATATATATATATATATATATATATATATATATATATATATATATATATATATATATATATATATATATATATATATATATATATATATATATATATATATATACATATATATATATATATATATATATATATATATATATATATATATATATATATATATATATATATATATATATATATATATATATATATATATAGATATTAGCAAATAACTATTAACTTAAGATAAATATGTTCTTTATTTATGGTATTTTTCTGGTCATCGCTTCAACATTTTTTCAAATTAAAAATTAGTTTTTACTGTTATGACTGTTTGCTAATATCTATATATATATATATATATATATATATATATATATATATATATATATATATATATATATATATATATATATATATATATATATATATATATATATATATATATATATATATATATGTATATATGTATAAATATATATATATATATATATATAATATATATATATATATATATGTATATATATATATATATATATATATATATATATATATATATATATATATATATATATATATATATATATATAACAGTTTAGAAATGTATTCTACGAAATAGAGTGCTCAATGTTCTAAAAAGAACAGAGCAAAATATATATATATATATTTATTTATATATATAGTATATATATATATACCAAATATATTTACTTATATATATAGTATTTATATATATTTAGTATATATATATATATATATATATATATATATATATATATATATATATATATATATATATATATATATATATATATATATATATATATATATATATATATATATATATATATATATATATATATATATATATATATATATATATATATATATATATATATATATATATATATATATATATATATATATATATATATATATATATATATATATATATATATATATATATATATAGTGTGTTGGTTTGTTTTCCTATACTTATTTTTAATGACGCATTAATGACGTTTTTATCGGTATTTATTTATATTATGCAGAAATAACGAGGAATCTCTTTCAAAGTACACCCAATAGTTAAACCTAATCACGTCAGTCATGAAAAACTATGAAGACGTAAATGAATGCATTATTGCGGGAGATTTTTAATAATATTCCGAAGCAATATACGATTCTGAGAATCGTAATAATAAAACACACAATAAGTTCTCCAAGCATCTAACTAGTTTCATTAAATCAAATAAGCTCTCCTTTATCGATATAATCAGTGGCGCTGGTCAAACATACACCTACCCAGACAGCAAGCTTACATTGGCCCAGCGTAAGTTTTAACATTGGCAAGTTTATTCCGTTGGGCCAACATTAAGCCAATTTTTTTTTTCGGCGTATTATTTTCAATTCTGCAAATCGGTTTTTTGCAAATATCGTACTATATTGGGCCAACATTTAACCAATGTTTTTTTTTCAGCGTAAAATTGCAAAAAATTTTTGCTGGATTTCAAAGTTAGTGTCACCAACTTTGAAAACCATTTGAAATCAAATGTTAAAAAAAACAGTATTTGTATTCATATCAGTTTAAAGTTTTAACAGTTGCTAGTGATTCATTATTATTCATTATATAAACGTTTATTTAAATTTATCGAATAGACAAGGTAATACAATATTTTTATAGATAATATTATTTTTAAAAATTGTATTATTAAAATTCAGAACTAATTTTTCTCTAAAAAAATCTTTATTTTATCTTAAATATTCTTTTCAAATAATCTCACTTTTAAAAAAAGTGTGACTCATCACGTTTTCAAAATACAGCGTTCACTTGTGAATTGAGTAACTTCTTAACTAGAATTACTAATTTTTCCATCTAAAGAAAAAAATAATTCCTTGACTTTTTCAGGTTTTCCACGACTTTAGCCAATATTAACAAATTTTCCAGATTTTCAAGGTATAGTGCGGACCTTGTCCAATGTTTGTATATAATTTTTTTTTTTACATATTATTATAAAATGTCATTTAAAAAAATCTTAAAAGAGTATTTTATTTAAAGTATATAAATTGTACTAAGATATCATACAAAATTTTATTCTAAACAAAAGTTACTTTAATTATTGCCAGGTTGTGTATTTTTGTAGGTCAATTACTAGGCACAAATTGGAGTTAAAGACAAAGGAGATTGTATAATTTATTTGCTAAGAATAGTTTTTTAAAATGGCCTAGTTGTAAAATTAAACTATGCAGGGAGAGGACAAAAAATTGGAATATAAAAAATCTTGATTGCGTATGCTGCTATTGGTAAGTGGTTAAGAAAAGTTTATTTTTTCAGTTTCAATTTTGCATTACAGAATTACTTTCAATTTGTTATGTTTCTTTGGAGCATTATTAAACAAACAACTATTTTATTTTTGCAGAAACTGTAAAGTCAAATAAGCATGGCTTATGCAGACATGTGATAGAGATAGTGGAAGAAAAAATAATAATCGTGGGCACCAAATATCATAAGCTCAACACTATTCAATAACAAGTAGCTAAGCCAATATTGAAACTACTCTATAAATTTTATAGTGAATTTTTTTTATTTAAAACTCAATGTGTCAGTTTTTGGTTTAAGTTTGGTGTTTGCAATATGTATATTTAACCGATAAGTTATGTTAAATAAATAAATTTTTATACTTGTATCATATATTCTTTTTTTTCTCTATAACTTTCCAATGTAGCGATGCAAATCATCTTATTTGTAACAACGATCTAATGTTGCATAAAACGTCAGGCCGATATATAACATACGATATTGGACCAATGCATCATTATGCATTGGCCCAACGTTGGTCCAATGTAAGCTTGCTGTCTGGGTATCAGCATAAAACTCTCTTTAACTCATCGTATATAGGTAACATTGCAGCTCTAAAAGAGTCATCCTTATCTTTTATAAATACCAAAGTTATTCCTCCTTCGCCTTTTAATTTTTGTGATCCCTTACCAATAGCTACAAATACTGTTGTTACACACATAAATCTGTCAACCGCAGTAAATAGTGTAATTTCAAAATATAACCATATTCCAAACTATGCATGGGGTAACAAAAACTTCATCGACATATATAATCATAATCTTTCTATAGCTTTTGATAACTACATCTTCAACGAGGAAAAAATGGAACAAGAGTTGATGCAAGCATGCAAAATTGTCAAAAATGCTGCTTTATTAGCAGTTGTGCTGTGCTTTGAACAACAAAAAACCTGCATATATTCAAAACCGTGGTAGACAACAGATAATAAAAAATGCAAAGAACATCTTTCATTTAACTTTAAACAATGGCATAAATCTAACTATAATAAATCACACGAATGCATAGCATACAAAAGATACATCCTTGCACGTAAAAACTTTCGAAAAGCGGTTAAAGCAGCCCATAACAAAAAAATCTATGAAAAAGCAATAATTATTAAAAAAAAATACAACTCCTCAAAAGTTTTAGGGCAATATTCCTAAAATCAAAACCAAAGCAAAAACTCGGTTATTTACGATTAATAATTTGCAAAACATAAAAGATTTCGTTTAAAAGATTTCAAACAACATTTTCGAACTCTACTCAATATGCCGTTTATTACAAATAACAACCATAATCCTTTTTTTTAATTCCGCCTCTAAGTAATGAGCCTAATTCACTAATTATTACATCAGCTGATATTATAAACTGCATATCACAACTAAATAATAATAAGTCCCCAGATAGCTTTGGGGTAACTGCTGAACACCATAAAAACTGTCATAATAACAATCTTTTTTTGAGGCTCTCTAAATTTTATAACAGCATTCTAACAAATGGAATGATACCAAAAGATTTATCAATTTTAATAACTATTTCACTAGTTAAGTCATATGAAAAATCTCTTAATAATCCAAATAATTACCGTGGAATTAGTATTTTACCTATCCTTGCCAAACTTTTAGAATATCTAATTTTACTTTTTATATCTAATTTTACTTTTTACTAGTATTAATATCTAATTTTACTTTTTACTAGTATTAAAGATAGCCATTCCCATCAGTTTGGTTTTAAAAAAAACAGTTCTACGCTCCACGCAGAATTTTTATTGAGAGAAACCGTTAAACACTATAATAACAATAACACGCCTTTATATATGTGTAGTCTAGATGCAAATAAAGCGTTTGATACATGCAACTGGATTTGCTATTTGAGAAGCTCTATTTTTGTCACAAGGGGTGCGACAAGGGTCTATTTTATCGCCATAATAATAATATCTATACTGAAAATATCTAAAATTAAATAGTCTCAGAATGTAAAGTAGGGTCGACGATAAATGGCATTTATACTATTGACATTACATACGCATATGATGTAATTTTGCTAAGTCCAACAATCTCTGGTCTGCAAGAACTGATTGACAGATTTCAAACATATGGAATATTAAACTTTATCAAGCTGAACACTAAGAAAACGGAATTTCTGATCTCTGGTAAAAGTTCAATTTTCAACAACATTATTCAAATTAACGGAACTTATATACATCTTCAAAATAAATTAAAACATTTGAGTTTCCAATGGGATAACAATACCAACAAAAACAAAATTGCAACACTTCAAAAAACAAATCTAAATGAACGTATAACGCAGTTTCAATCGGTTGCAATAGCTCTAATTGACAGTGGAATTCGTTTTTGTCAGCCGTCAACAATAGTCCATTTATACAATACCTTGACAGTGCCAAAGCTTATATATGGCCTTGAGCTATGCATCTATGACATTAGTTTTCTAAGAAACTTAGACGCTGTTGGAAGAGCAGTTTTAAAATCATTTTTTTGTATTTCAAAGTATTGCAAAAATTACCTACATTCTTTTTTTAAAATAGATATTTTATTACATTCTTTTTTTAAAATAGATATTTTAAAAAAAGAATGTAGGTAATTTTTTTTTATTTTTTTAAGATATTTCAACTACTCTTCTTCGAAATAAAGTAAACCTATTAACTAGACTAATGAAAAATCAAACTTGCTATTCGCTGATAATGAGTCAATTACTGGCAACACAAAATAAAAAATCATTTATAAACGAAGTGATTGCTGTATGTAAAACTCGTGACTTGAACATCTTTCAATGTATGAGAGAAGGTAAAAAAATTAAATTCACACTACCTCAAAAAGAACTGAAAGCTGATACTATATCAATAATAAAAGAAACGTTCCAATTATGGAACTTAAAAAAACAAAGAGAAAAATTTAAAACATTGATGGAGGAGAATATTCCTAAAATAGAACTAACCGTCTAGTCGGTCTAGTTATTGGCATTAAAGAAAAATATTTGGAGAGCCAAGGCTGGCCTTAATTTAATTTGTAACTGTTTTAATATAAATTAATTTACCTGCAATTTTATTGCTGGGTGTTTAAGAAAAAAATAATAATTACTATACAATTTATTTGCGGTTGCGGAAATTTGCGCTATTTTAAAATATAACATTGTTTAAGTATAACTATAAATTTGTATTTGTTAAGTATAACTCTGATTTACAAATTTTATGGAAAGTTTATTTAGAACAAAAATTCTCTAATATATTTATTACAAAACCACTTAAACATTTTTTTTATTTTAATTTTTTTTTTTTACAAAATTATAAACATTTACAGATTTTTATAATATTATTAAAATAAGAAAAAGTCTTAACTTACCTAGATTTTTTTTTTTTTTTTTATATATTTACACTTTTTCTTTTATATATATTTATTTTTATCGCTCAAACATAGTTACAACAGTTAAAAATTAAAAATTATCAAAACGGTAAGCCACATGGAATGTTTTATCATCATGGAATATTTTAGAGTTTACAATGTATTGCGATAGAATTATTACAATTGGTTAAAATTTAAAATTCAAAATGAGGCAAGATTGTGAGTTTTATATGTATGGCCCATATGATAGCCTCATCAAATTTAGCACGTATTTGTTTAAGGATTATGCCACATTAAGTGGAATAGTTATGTGAACTGCATTATGTGTTTCACAAGTGGGCCACACTTATCTTTATCAAATACGTCATTCATTAACTGTAATATATTTTAGGACTTTTAATCTACACGAAAGCACTATGACCACATGTGGGCCACGTATACCTTTCTTGTCGGGTGTCTCCGAGCTGGGAAAAAAAAAATAGAATTTTGCTTAAAACATTTTTTTTGAATAACAGTTTAGTTCGACTGGGCTCTAGGATTCACAATCAGTAAAGTGTTTAGTTACGATAAAATAATATTTGTCGCCTTAATAAAGTTTCCTTGTGTGTAAAATATTTATGCGAAAGATTATTTCTTTTTTCAAGCACTAAATCTTGCTTTAGTCGACTAAATTTAGTTACACTAAATTTTTAGTCGACTAATTTGAGTTAACTAAAAAGTTAGTCTACTAATTTTAGTTAGACTAAAAAGTTAGTCGGGTAAGTTAGTTACCTAGAAAGTTTGTCGGGTAATTTTAGTTAGCTAAAAAGTTAGTCGGGTAATTTTAATTAACTAGAAAGTTAGTCGGGTAATTTTAGTTACCTAGAAAGTAACTAAACAGCACGTTATTACCCGGTGGGAAATGAGCTAGCGACTAGCAAGTGACTAGCTAGCTTTATAACAATTTTCTAAGATAAAAAAGCTAGCGATTCTCATGGCCAAATCGCTGTCTTTATAGTTATGATTATAGCAATCGGCTATTCGCTAGCCGATTTCCCACCGGGTAATCAGTGTAAGGTAAATTTAAAAAAGTTTCATCATAAAATGCAGAGACTTCCGCAACGGCGAACGCTTTTTTATAACGAATTTAATAATTTAAAACTTAAAATTTAAAATTTTAATTTTAAAGTTTAAAACTTATTTAAGCAGTTTTTTAACCAAAACTAGCATAAAACGGAAACATGTTTACTTAGCTGGTAATTTTAACTTAAATTTACTAAGTTATGCTTCAAATACAAATGTTCAACATTTTCTAGATACTCCTATAGAATATAATCTAATACCAACAATAAATAAGTCAACGAGAATAACTAAGACCTCATCGTCATTGTCGATCGTCATCGTCGAGAATAACTAAGACCTCATCGTACTTGATAATATAATTACTAAAAATTTTCAAAACTGCCGTTTAGGAACAGGAATAATCAAAACTGATTTAACTGATCACTTTCCAATATTCTTAAATACTGATAACATAACCCTAAATAATGTCCCTTCAAGCACTACATTTTAACACGACAGATTAATGAAAACTCCTTATTGTATTTTCGAACTCTTTTAACAATAAATAAGTCAACGAGAATAACTATTCTTTTAACAAAAAATATCGGTTTAAATGTTATTTTACAATCCCATGAAGTCAATACTGCATATGAGCTTTTTTTAGCGCAGTTCTGTAAACAGTGTGACATAGCATTTCCTGTTTGAAAAATTGTTAATAAATCCAAGTCTCTTTTAAACCCCTGGATGACCAAGGAATTAATAAAATCATCAAAAAAAAAAAACCTCATGATAAATATTTAAGACATAAAAC